CCTAATGTTGTCATTAAAAAGGCGTAGAAAACTAATTAAGTTACGTTTTAATTTGATAAATAATAATAATCTTTTTACCTCGTATGTGTATATAATTGGATGAATTCCAAAACACCGACACGTTCCGGCACCAAAAATGTGGCAGTGCCGCCGATATCGATTTCACGTCGTTGCAACATCCCGGACATTCCGCTCCAGGAACCATTCTTGCTAAAAAATCCCCAGTTATTCGTGACTTCAAAACTTACCCTAAAGTAAAAATATGGATTTTTGAGTTAATGATTATCCTAACCAACCGAATATAACTGCCATATATATAGATATAAAATAGATGTATTTACATATATGTTATACAGTTATATAGCAGTTCTATGTTTGCTGTGATATATTTCATGATTCATCATATCTCGTGTCCATGAAAACAATAAATGTTTGGACTTTGATTGCTCACAACTTTGTTAAAAACTACCATAATTAAAAAAACGCAATTAAAAAACAGCTTTCTTAAAGCTGAAACTTTGAATGTATAATTTTGAGCTAAAAATATACAACATTACTTTTCTTCTAACTCAATAATAACTTGTTTAATGACGTTTTTTAAATTTCTATGATTATTAAAAATTATTGACAGGCCTTATAAAAAACTATTAATTTATTTAATGTTGAAAAAATATGTAGATCGGGATAAAAAAATATAGAACCTCATAAAAACATCACTTTATCTTTAATTGAATATTTTTGTAGGAATTTATATTTGTATGACTATGTTGACAAGTAAAAATTTAAAGAATTATGTCGCAATATTTACAGTTTTAGTAATAAATTTTTGTAGTTAATTAGATATAAGTATAGACACAATAATCATGTAATTTTGTCGGTTGCAATTAATAAGTAGGTATGTCATGCGTTTATTTAATTATAGTATACGAATTGCTCCATTTATGCATTTGATCATATACTGTTATATGGTTAAAAACAATGTAAAACTGTTTTTTACATATATGTATCGCCTGATCTCTTCACCCTGTATATGACCTCATTAATTAATCTCGAGCTTAAATTTATTACGTTGTTTGAAAGCATACATTCGCGATTTTAGAATTAGTAAGATAATTTATTATAAATTATCGTCATTGGATTTATTTCGTAAACATAATTCTAACAAAATATTTGGCGTTGATACGATATTGTTAAAGGTCGAACTCACGTTGCATTCATTCGATTCACTAAATGCAGTATCCAAGGATAATTAGTCTTTGTGACGGGATCTATGGTTTTATCCTTAAAGTCAGTCAAATGATTCATTGTCTCAGGATCCGTCATCTGCAATTGTAATAAAACTTGATAGAAAATATCTCTTCTATTAAAAAAAAATTGATACTTAAAATAAAGACTAATCATGGAGTTTTCATTTACTATGGACGTGGCTAATACTTTATTTGCATGTTTTGCTTTTTATCTAGTAGCAAAATGCACATATTACATTAGCTTGTCTACAAAATGTTTTAACGTTTCATTGATATTTAAATCTTAAGTGCATTTTCTTGCGTGACAATTATATACTTCAAAGTACCACTAAACAAGATTTAAGAGCTGTTTGTTGAAGATCTCTTCTTCGTGCTGATGCTACATCGAAAGTGCTCATTTGTAGACCGTTTTCAAATGTCCAGTTTCCACGATTTTCCCACATTACACCTCGTTGTGGACTTGGTCGATATATGGATAACAATTCGAGAAAATCGCCATCAAATCTTCGCGCGAGGATCACGTCGCTATCAGGATAGATATCCAAATCCTTGAAGCTTTCCAATATAGTGTCATTATATGTAAAAGTTAAATTAACGTTATCATCGTTGTCAGCCATTGTTTTCCGATCTTGAAAAAGCAGCCATTTCATCGGGGCGACAAACATCCTTTTCGAATGTGCCTGTTATTTTATATTAGATGATGATACTTTTATTTGCATATATCTTTTTGACTATATGTAATTTATTTATGACGGACATAAATATCATATATTACCTGACGTAAAATATCAATGGCGTAATCGCAATCTAAATTCAACATATACAGATTTTGATGTTCTAAGTCATTGTAAATCTTCGGATCAAGTTCCTCATAAAAATTACGAATGTTATGCATTAAGTAGTTGCTTGATAATATTCTTGATAATTTAATCGTGTCATCTGTGAAAAGATATTATATTTAATTTAATTTTGATAAATTATCTTTTGTATGTTATTTTTATTAACAAATAAAGATAGAAATTGTATTACATATATGGAAAAACGAGGTTGTTGAAGTATTTAAAAATTGAGTTAGATATAGATAAAAAAATAATTTTGTTGAAACATCAAAATAATTATATAGGAATTTTAACCATGATGAACAATGCTGCAAGAAATTTTGATATTCTGTTAATCAGTTTGCACGTCTTACATATGTAATTAATATTTTGATGGTTCAACAAAATTATTTTCGGATTTATATTTAGTTCATACAGCTTTTAAATACTTCAACAAAACCATCCTTTCCATGTATATAATGGAATTGAGAAACTCTATAAGCGCGTTGAAGATATACATATACAAATATAAATTTTAGTGAAATTATTCAACTAATTTATTTTTTTCATTATTGCCTAATCAAACAACGTAGCGAAGTAAAAAATTCTGTACTGCGGGAGAGAAAATTGATAGTTCAATATAGTGTATGTACATATATATATTGATTGTAGAATTTGTTTAACAAGATAGTCTAAAAATAGTGAAATAAATTGATAATACGTTTTTAAAGTCTCTTATATGTCAATGTTTCAAACTCATTTCGAGGCACAGTTAAATGTAGGTAAGACTTTTAATTATAGTTCATAATTGGCCAGATTTAAATTTTTATATCTAAAAAAACTGCTTGGAACAAAAAAATGACAAATACTTTTTTAACTTATTATTTCCGAGAACTGTCTTGGTGTGGTATTTTGATTCACGAATTTCACTCTGTTCATCATGTATAGGAAAGAGCATTTTTCCATTTTCTTTATTAGCGTATTTTTTGTACTGTTATATAGATATCGCTATAGTTACTATAAATTTCGAGCGCTCTCTTTTTCCTGATGCACAATCAATATATTATTAGCGTATTTTTTGTACTGTTATATAGATATCGCTATAGTTACTATAAATTTCGAGCGCTCCCTTTTTCCTGATGCACAATCAATATAGAAATTATGAATATGAAAATCTTGCCATAATTAGTGCACAGTTGTAGAAATACTCTTGAAGGTGGAAACAGAACGGGCGTCGCGTTGCCAATGAATCTTATGAGAACGTCGTCGACACGAAATGACGCAGTTACGTCATTGCCGAGTGACAGCACAAGGATACACAGGACAACGAGGATCATCCCGATCACGTTTGTCTCTCCTGACTGCGAAAAAGAATTTTCTTTGGGATCATAGAGAGAATCGATCATTTGCTCACCGTTTATTATACCATAATCTCTCGATATATCCATATTTACATGATTTGCGTAATAATTCCATATATTATAGCAAATCATTAATTCGCGAAAAAATAACGGATAATCAAAGTAACGAGCGTTATTACGACTGGTAAAATATTTCAGACTCATGATATATACGCTCGTTAACGTCTGTCAACAGATTATATACTTCGTGGGTGCTTCTTAAGACACGATTTCACCAGCTTTTCTCGTTTTTATGTGAAAGAATTTTCATCCTTCTGAATGCACTATTTGAGACGATAATAACAGTGTAAGGGATTGTAAGTTCATAAAGAAAAACAACCGAAAAAGATCTAGTTTACTCTCAATGTTGCGTATTCAGCTTTCGAAAGATTATTTTGCCTGTTTTTTTTATCGTGAAATAAAAATTTGGACTTTGAGCACCTCTGGCACATCTCTGGTACATATATCTAACGCACATGTTTGACGCACATATATTTTCGTGTTGAACACAGTAAATGCGATTATCGTATCAGACAAATTTATTTCACATTAAGCTAAATGTCATTATATTTAATTATATATGATATTAGATCGAGTTACTAATAGAGAAGTAACAAATTTTTACGAAGGTTTTATTTTGTATATTCCTGATTAATAATAGGATATGTATCGGACTAGGATAATTTATTTAACTAAATGCTGGATAAAAAAGAATTTTATTAGGAGAATATGCGTTTTTTTCAAGTTTAGTGATTTTTATCAAGTATCACACACAGATACAAAAATTGTTTTTATTTATTTCTTTAAATTGAGGAAATTTTTAATGTACATTGAGAAAAAAAATACCAATAAAATACACTAATAAAATATACTAACAAAAATATTCTAATAAAAACATATATATTAGTGAGAAGAAAGATTTTCTTCATTTTAGTAAACTATTTGTTTGCACGCAATTGCAAACGCATTTTTTTTAATAGGAAATTGTGTGCATTTATTTGAAGAAATATTTTTTTAATTTATTATTTTTATTTTAATTTATTATTATTTCCTAATTTTGAGTTAAAGATATAGCTCAAAACGGAGCCGAAACGTCCTTAAAATTTTCGTTATTCTGTAAGTTTTTGCGCAAATGATTTCTAGCGCTGACTCCTAATGTCCATCATTTTGTATATATGTATCATATTTTATGTCTATTACTCTGTTAATATGTAGTCATTCTTATAAAGCTTCGCAATAAACTAAATTAAACTAATTAAATTAAACTAATTATGATTTTCTTTTCTTCTATCTCTTTCTCTAACCCGTATTTCAGCTACTCGACATTTAAATGGCCCAGAAAAAGAGAGAAGCACGGAAAAAGAAAGAAATGAGATAGAAGTTTAGATGGCGTTACTGAGCAACTTACTTATTTCGCCGTTCGCGCATGCACACTCCATTTTGGCCAACATAAAATCAGGAGAGTTGCGCTACTGTATATAGAACTGTGCTGTGGTATAGTAGTACATATAGTACAGACTTTAAGCTACAGTGACGTACAGTATACTTGAAAATGGCAGCCGCCTTTAGAATTAAGCATGCTTTTAGATTAGGAAGACCTCTTTCAAGATTATTAAATAGAAATTTGCAGGAGAAATTAGTTTATTCACAATGCCAACGATTACCAGGTTTATCAGGTTTTTATTTTTATCGTGTCTAACAAATATTTTACTTTTACATGTTGCACACTATTGAATGTATTCTGTTTTATAGGTTTATATTATGTTTTTCTATAAATCTGTTTTTTTTTTATCTAATGCATTTTCTCAGTTGTATTTTATTGATGTCAAGCAATATAAATAATTTTTAATTTTACAGTTAGTTACAATTATGTACGACATTTGTCATCTCAACCAGAGGTTCAAACTACAGAGTATCATAACATTATAAAAGACACAGAGAAAGCTATAGGTAATATATTCGATTGAAGGACTTGCTGCAATAATAAACTAACTAACAATTTGTAAAAACGTAGTAAATAAACTCTAAAATAATGGAAAAATACCAATACTTATTATATATTTGACTATATGGTTAGCCCATTATTACAGCAAGTCTTTCAGTTGTAATTAAGATCATTATATCTGAAATTGTTTTTTAGAAAAATATAACAGGTGCAATATACTTTATTATGTGCAGGTGAGAGTGCCAAGCATGAATTTCAATCTGAGACACAAATGTTGCTACAAATTGTCGCAAAGTCTTTATATTCAGATAAGGAGGTAATAAAATATGAATTTTTTAAAAACCATTTACAGTGATTATATTACTTAATCCATTAGGTATTTGTACGTGAGCTGGTTTCAAACGCTAGTGATGCATTGGAGAAATTAAGATACCTATGTCTAAGCGATAACGAGGTTACACAAGTAGCTGGTGATAGAAGCTTAGAGATACATATTGGTACTGATAAACAAAGTCGTACTTTAACAATCCAAGATACTGGTGTGGGAATGACTAGAGAAGAATTAATAGCCAATTTAGGAACTATAGCTCGATCTGGCTCTAAGGCAAGTGAATTTATATAGTTTTTTTGGTTTATAAAATATGTATTATATATATGATCTAAAATTTTATTTAAAATAAAAATTACAGTTTCTGTAGATATCCTGAAGTGTAATTTAAAATAAAGTATGTTTGTGATATAAATATTATATATATATATATATATTTCTATTAATAGATATATACGTATTTTAGGCATTTCTAGAAAAACTGAAGGAAGAACAAAACTCTAGTGATACATCCAAAATTATTGGGCAGTTTGGAGTTGGATTTTATAGTGCCTTTATGGTTGCTGATAAAGTAGAAGTATTTACAAAATCTTTTGCAAGAGATGCAGAAGGTCTTTGTTGGATCTCAGATGGGTAATGTGTGAGAAAAAAAAATTTATTTTTCTCTATATAAATATTATCGATATTATTTATAGTAGCCATCCGTAAAATTATATAAGCAATGTTTTAATATATAGATCGGGTACATTTGAGATTTCAAATGCAGACGGTGTACAGTCAGGCACAAAGATTGTTATACACTTAAAACCGGATAGTCGAGAATTCAGTGACGAAAATACTATCAATCGTAAGTACATTAGCGATAAAGATATGTACTTATCATGTTTTACATAATTTTACAAAAAAAGTTTTAATAAAATCTACCTTCTCTTGATATATTCAGGCATTATCAACAAGTACAGTAATTTTGTCGGTAGTCCTATTTTTGTGAATGGAAAGAGAACTAATACGATTCAGGTATCATCAATTATATAACTTTCTCTCATTTGTCCTATTTTTATGTTTAATCTACCATAATTAAAGAAAGATATTTTCTTTTGCAGCCATTATGGATGTTTGACCCAAAAGATATAACACCCTTGCAACATGCGGAATTTTATCGATTCATAGGAAATTGCATTGATTCACCAAGATTTGTACTACACTATTCGACGGATGTGCCGTTGAGTATCAAAGCTCTATTATATTTCCCAGAAGAAAAGCCCGGAATGTTCGATTTGGCGAGGGACACTACCAGTGGAGTGTCGCTCTACAATCGAAAGATTCTGATTAAAAGCAAAGCGGAGAATATTTTACCAAAATGGTTACGTTTCATTAAAGGCGTAGTAGATTCGGAAGATATACCATTAAATTTAAGCCGTGAACTATTACAAAATAGCACATTGATTGGGTGAGAATAAATTTCTGATATTTGTATCATTTATTATTATATACTATATAATTATAAAGAATATAATTTTGATAGAAAATTGCGAAACGTGTTGATCGCACGTATATTAAAATTCTTAAATGAGCGATCTACGAAGCAGCCAGAAGACTATAATGAATTTTACAAAGCTTATGGTTTATTTTTAAAAGAGGGCATTGTAACTAGTAATGATCAGTCTGAAAAGGTAATTTATTGTATTTCGTATAAGTGTCAAGAAAATATGTCTATAAAAATATTTATTAATTTGTGTTTTATTGTAGGAAGATATAGGCAAACTCCTGCGTTTTGAATCGTCTGCTGCTGCCCCGGGAGAACTAGTCAGCCTGCCGCAATATTGCAGCCGTTTAGCGAAAGATCAAAAGGATATATATTATTTATCAGCGCCAAGGTATAATGACGTATACTTTAAATATCTCGTGTTAATCAATGATCTACAAAAATTATATATTATAGCCGGACTCTAGCCGAGCAGTCACCGTATTATGAATCTTTGAAAAAACGAAATATTGAAGTTTTATTCTGCTATGAGCCATATGATGAATTAGTATTAATGCATTTGAGACAGTATAAAACTAACTTTTTGACATCTGTGGAAAAAGAAATGCGAGATGATACGGAAGCAAATAAACCAGAAAATTTAGGTATATAATAAATATCACATACGTATTTATATGTATTTGTAAATTAAGACGTCAAATAAAAAAATAATTTTTGTATTCTTTGCAGGTATTATAAATAAAGATGAACTGGATAATCTTGTGAACTATATGAAGAAGATTCTCGACAAAAAAGCATACGATGTTAAAATGACGAATCGTTTGGAGTCGCATCCTTGCGTAGTAACCGTTCAGGATATGGCAAGCGCAAGACACTTTATCCGCATGCAGAGTCATCAAATGAATGAAGAAATGCGATATTCTATGCTTCAACCGCGCTTTGAGATAAACCCAAATCATCCTCTCATCAAAAAGTTGTGCAAGCTAACAACTACAGATACTGAATTAGCTGATCGTCTAATACAACAGGTATATTGTAATAAAAAGCTCTTCAAATGCTTTGATGTTTATCTTTTAAATAAGTTATCACAATATATTATGTACAATTGTAGCTATTTACCGGTGCTATGGTCGGAGCTGGACTAATTGAAGATCCACGTATATTATTGACTCCAATGAACGAATTACTTACTTTAGCATTGCAAAAATATTAAGAAAAAAAAGGATTGTATCAATATTGTTCTATGATTTAGAAATAAAAGGATATTCTTCTTTACTTTTTCTGCTTTCAATCATAGAACATTGAATGTCCCAAAATATCGTATAAAACGAATAACTTATCGAAACCAATAAGTTATTCGTTTTATTATTTAATAAAAATATATTGTTAAAACTACGAATAAAATATAACTTATTGTAGGCAAGATTGGTTTCTTTATTACAATAGGTTGTTCTTGTACAAATTAATTATAGCCTTACAATAATAACAAGTCAAGTTCCTCGTTTTCTTAAGAGATTTCGTGATATCGATATGTATTCTATTAGCAGGGCTAGATGTTATGGCGAATTTAGAAATTGTACCCATGTTTTCCATGTTTTTTTTTTCATAACCCATGGTTCTAAAAGTTGTACACTCAAACTGTTCAAATGGCAAGCAATAAATAATTTTATAAAATTATTTTATATAAAATACATAAATATTTGATAAAATTATTTATTCCTTACTTTCGTAATTTTTTGAGAACATAACTCGCCAGTAGTAGGCCTGAAGTAATAAATAATTTACTAAAAAAATTATATATACAAACCATTTATGTACGCTTTCAATCAATTCCATACTAACTATAAAAGAAATTTATAATTTTAATGTTATTAATTTATCACTTGGAAAATTTTAAAAGATGGTTTTTGCAATTTTTATAAAATCACTAAATGATTCATATACTATTTATAAAAAATTCGCTGTCACATCCATATTTTCTACTTTACAGTCTTTGACCAATGTGCTTCATCGTTTCTTTTTTTTTAAATAAAACTAATCTAAATGTGTTATATAATATTTATCCGTGCTCCATATTGTGATTATCATTACTGATATATCATTACTGACTGAAATTTTATATCGCTTATAATTTTTATCGAATTTGCAACTGGCGGAATCAATTTTGTTCTCTTTACTTTCTCTCATACGGTACTAATGTAAAATTATTAAAAAATGTTATACGAATCTTAATATGTAATTCTCTAAAATTTCAGAAAGTAGAAGCACAGTTGACTTTAACTTATATGAGGACGAGAGACGATGCGTTTGCTCTTGGTCAACATAAAAATCACCCTGTTTATCATTATTAGTAATATGATTCGCTAATATATCCTACTAAAACACGCAGGATAGCTAGCATCCTTTACAGAACAGGAACATAAAATCGAATTTCTCAACAAAATTCTACGTATATAAATGAACATGTATACCTCACCCAAATATAAGCTGCCGCTACAATATCCATTAACAAAAAAGTATTCTAAATGAAAGTGACAATGAGTAAAAAAATCTTAGACATTAATAAAGTGTTCCTTGATTCTTCTATTTCCTTTATCAAATTAATCGAAGGAAATGCATTGCTTGTATGGCATTAAGAATTAATTCGCAGTTTTAAAAAGTATTCCATTATATAATATTATATGGAGTTCTTATAATGAAGAATACATGAGATGCGAATGGCAGATTGGTAAAGGGCGCAATGAGGTGAATTACCTCGCACCGCTGAGCAGTCTTATTAAAGAGTAGATAGACGATAAAGCGTGATGTAAATGTAAATAGTAGCACCATGTATGCAAATTTATCGGTCGTACTGATGGTGACTAAATAAAGAGATAAAAGGGAGAAAAAAGTTAAATAAACGGAACGTTGACTTAGCTTACGTATACACGGAGGAGGCATCGCCCCTTCCATCGCTCTTCTTTGTTTCTTCTTAAATTTGTTATAAAACGTTGGGTAATTAACATTGCAATTATTATGATACAAGTTATAGTATTTGATCATCGTATAAACATTATTATCATCACAGTAAAAATATTTCATATTTTTTTAACTATTAACCTGTGCATAAACACGTGCACAATCGTACACATATTTGCTCCGTAACACGGAGGAGGCTGTTCTTCTTTTTCACTAGAGTCCATTTACTTACACGCTAATCTGCTACTTCTTACTTAATATATGCATTATTAAGTAGTCCGTCGGTTCATTTATATGTAACCAAAATAAAGTCAGTTAGCAAATAGTAAAAATACATAAATGTACCTATGTATCTTTTGCACTGGAATTATAGTTGTTGGATTAATATGTTAAATTTAAACGATAGGTCATTAAACAATAGTCATTGGTCTGACGACACTGTCGTGATTAACTTTACTTTTCTCGAGTAATGAATTCTCTTTTTCTTATTCAAGATCATTTCTTACGCGTGTAAATGTAGTCATAGTTGACACAATCTATTTTTCTCTAATAAATCTCATCTCCTTGGTAGAGTCGAAAGAAATATTTTCAATTATCGTGAAAAAAAAAAAACAATATTAAGAATGCGTGCAGTGTATAGCGTTCTGTAATATGTAATCATGTATCTTTCTTCTTGATGAAGCAAATAATTTGTATTTATAGAATATTAACATCTTCCAAATGGAAGAAGAAACATGGCTTGGAAGTAGAAAACATACGAAAATTATATGTTCAAATATCTTTTTACCACCAAGTCATAAAATTACATTGATCTATATTTTCGATTTCATTTGTTTGTATATAGGATGTTCCGCGAGGAAACCAACAAATTTCTAAAAATGTATTCTAAGAAAGTAGATATTTTAAAGAATTAATGTGATCAAAAGAATATTCACATAAAAATAATATAAATGTTTAGTATTTTTTGTTTGTTACAATGTTAATAAATTGTCTATGTTTTGGTAACATTTATTATAAGCCAAATTGATCTATAGAATGTGTGTGTGTGTGTGTATGCGCGCGCGCGTGTATAAATTTTTTGCTTAGAATAAATTCTAGAATACATTCTATAAGTTTATCAGTTTTTTCACGAAATAGTCTATATATTATAACAAAACATATATGTATATAATATTGATAAAATAAAATAGAAGCTGTCTAAATTTGTTCATCGATTCTGATATGGACATACGCAACGTACGCACTGCTTGCAACTGTAAGACATATAACTATTCGCGATGAGTTTGCAGGATTAAGTACACTGATTCTTGAACTCTACCTAAGTAGGAGGAGATTTAAGGTGCGATGTATTTCCGTAACGGTATACATCACATGCGCGACGTGCGTCCAGAACACGCCGGTGGTTCGCATAAACGGATTCCTTATTTCATAGCTGCCTGTACAGACTGTCTTACTTCTCTATGACGATATAACACTCTATGTACAAAATTGCATATTCACAGATATCCGCGCGTCTCAATCGTAGAAGCACGGAGAAACACGCTTTCGCACGCTTCGGTCTATCCGCGTACTTCGGCACCACCGTTCGTCACACTGAGGTCTGCGTGATGCCGTTCCCCGACAACCACAAGCGTCCGTTGCTCTTCTGATCCGTGATCTCGTACTCGGAATCGTCGATCTCGCACAGATTCGTGGAAAGATCGCTGTTGCTGGTTGCGCCGCCCAATAGCGAATTCCTTTCTTCCAGTGTGGTGATGACGGATCCAATCTCGTCCTCTTCAATCACCTTGTGGCATCGGTTACGGCGGGTGCTCGGAAAACCATAAGGCACTACGTCATCTTCTTCTTCCTCGTCGGACTCGAGGGTGCTAAGACGGCCGTTGAGCGGATTCGTCTCGTTCTCGGTGTCGGTGTGAATATTATAATGCGGCAGATATGAGTTCGGGTGACGCAGATAGCTCTCAGAGCTCTTGTATTTGTACTCTCCCTCACCGCCGCTATCGAGAGGATTCAGACGCTGCGTCTCCGCGCAATGATATTGCTCCGAAAACTCGGTCCCGCATTCGGAGTCGCCGACATATTCCGATTCTTGATCTTCGTTTAACGTCTCAATGTCCCTCGTTGGATCTATTGGACCATGCACTATAACAGATGTTACATATATTTCTATATATTTCCATACTATATATTGTTTAAGAAAGTTTTACAAATTGCCATAATTAATGTTGTTAGCGAAATAATAAATTAATACGTATATGACATGATATATCATATTTCTTGTCATGCATAAATATTAACGTGATTAATTATGGTACTAATTCGTTAGTCCCTATTATTATAAATTCATTATTATATTGTTATATATTACAATGTTAAGACGGCATTAAATACATCACTTTAGGTTCTATAATTTTTATTATAGGATGCGTGTCAATAAAACTACTAAATTTTTGTGACAAGTTTGCTATCAAACTCAATACTTATGACGTTACTAAAATTAAAGCTGTCAAACATCAATATTACACTAATCATGCTAATGCAGGAAAAGGTAAATCAATGGGCATTCACAGATATCCGCGTCGCAATCGTAGAAGCACGCTCTCGCACGGTCTATCCGCTTCGGTCTATCCGCGTACTTCGGCACCATCATGTACTTACTCAATGGTAGTTGATGAGTATTAGACTCATTACTCTCATTGCTATGGAAACTGGACGAGTCTGGGACCTCGCTGCCGGGTACCTCCGTGATGTTGGGCAAGGGATTCTGACTCGGCCTAACCCAGTCTGAGCAGTCCCAGTGATACCCTAAAAGCATTGCAGACAACGACTGTACTCCGACACGCTACATGCGATGCGGCATAGTGTTGTGCGGTGAAGTAAAAGGTAGAAATAGTGCGAGGGCAAATAATAGCACTCGATTGAGATAGTACAAGCGAAAAAGCGAAGACCCAAAGTATACCGAGTATCCTAAGATCGCACTTTGGCTACAGCAGCTTCTGGTGAATTTGTAGAGTTTTATTAATAGCCGTCGATGATGTATTTTTAATTTTTCTACATTTTACTGTTACGTCTGCAAAATTTAATGCTTACATTAAAACATCTTTAATTTTTAAGAGACGATATACGATTCGGAGGATACTCTCTATCTCGAGCCATACGAGCGGGCTGTCTCGACTTACCGCCGACGATGCGAGGATCATCCTCGATGGACGTGACGGAGGTGACGGAAGACCCAACCGCATGAGGTGTCCGTCGAGAAGAGTTTAGTAGAAGTCCTCCAGTGGTCAGCTCTGGTACCACTGGGCTCGCTCGTTTCAGGTCTGTTAGTGCACACAATATGAA